AAGAGAATTGCTTTAGTTATCTCAGCCAATCATTATGATAAACAGAGCTGACTTAACTATCTTGTTTGTGTCTCAGGGAAATCGGGGGGCAGGGAAGGAAGACACATAACTCTTACCTAGATCAAAGACTGTGCTTTAAAATTTCCTGAAGAAAGTAAATACTGATTTGTATTCAGAAAAATGAACAACATTTTGACTTGATGTCTGAAATATTTCTAAGGACTTTTGGGTCTTTCACAGACATCACATAGAATTAGCGCTTCAAGAATGCTGCAAGGTCAGGGAATATCAGAAGAAATTGAGCATGTGCTTCCAAAGGCAAAAGTACGCTCAACACAACAGTCCATGAACTTATTAGTATTTAAAAAAGCGTGTCGTAGAATGCAAGTTCAAGTAACTTTTCTTCCTAACACTGCCGTTACCCTTGACCATAAGCCTATTTATATTTGTAGATCTTCCATATGGAATTACAGCATATCAAATTCCATTATTTGATTTGGTTTAGTCTACAAAGCAGAAAGACATTTAAATAATCTTTCTGGTACAACAGTCACGATGTATCTGGTCTCATGGCATGATTCCTGCAGCACATTTCAGGTATGTTTATTTAAAATATCAAAAATAATTTATTGTAATAACTGGAAGAGAATGCCATTTTTTCTATCAAATAATACAAGCATCAGTGACAAAACAGAGTCAAATTTTAAGGAACAAAGCCAACTTCTGGTTGCTTTAATGTTGATTTTAATGGTCATTAGAATTTGTTCTATTTACCTGCCGCTTTACTTCAAGGAGTGCTTCATATATTCAAACAGATAGCACTGACTACCACGTTAAATTTGAAAAATCAGCAAGTTGGGTTCAGTAAAGAGAATGCAGCAGCAACAAGCATTCAATGGCTAGTGCTGCACAAAACATCCTCCAGCTATCTCAGTTCTTTTCTCGTTACATTATCAACAGCTAACAAGGGTTCAGCTCTCTCCCTACCCTAAACTTTCCTCCCTTCTTTAGAACTATTTATGGTTTAGGATTTTGTTCTTTGCCTAAGACAGCCTGAAAACACACACTATACATGATATAACATCTTCTAAAACGCCAATGCTTTACTGTGAACAATTTTAATTTCTCAGTGTCATAATAAATTGTATTATAAAAATATGTAATGGAAAACTATTGCAGAAGCAGGTATGGAACACAGGCAAAATATTACTCACCTCCTTTGCCTTCCAAAAACTCATCATTGCTGTATCACTTGCCAAGTTGTATGATGTGCACATATACTTTTTTCAAAAACTGCAATTTTCTACTTGATATTTTATAATCAAAGCACTTACCTAAACTTGCTCTCAAAGACTCCAAAGTTGATTCTGTCACCAGACTGCAAAGACACTGAAGTGCCATTGAGTTTTGATCCATTAACAAAGGTACCATACTTAGATGTATCTCTTACTGTTAATATAGGGACTGAGAGGGACTGGCTCTGAAAATAAACATAAATAAGCCATAATAGTTTATCAAAATTAGGTAGTTTTATCAGAAACAGGTTACTACCGTTATGGATCAAAGCAGTAGATAAGAAAAAGGCCACAAAATACCATCCTAAATAAAGACTTTGGACAATAAGGCTGGCTACATGTAATTATTCATCTTCTGCTTTTCACTGTGAAGGAATGAGAGAAAACATACATATTTTCAGCTTCAGAACTTTTGTGCTTCTTACAATCAGTCTTTTTGGAGGCTGTGCAAGGCAATCATTCACTGACTCAAAGCCTCTGCTATTGTTATTTAGCGAAGCTCTGAGACTTATTATTGATGCTTTTACCTACCATTCAGCCCTAGCATAGGTGCCCAAGTCACTTTCCCTCACTTCCTTCCACAAGCACTGCTAGTCTTCCACAAGCTGCAGGGCATAGTGACACCACCATGCCTTGAGAAGAGGTTAGACACTGTCATACTTCCCAAATGGTTCACAAGCCAATGAGAACACTGTCAGACTGTTTTTATGAAATTTTGCCATGCAGTTATACACTATTTGCGTTATTAAAAGGACAAATAAGTTTTATATATTTCATTTAAAACTCTTTATACGGTTACGTAAATGAAATTCCTGCTGACTGGCTTCAAAATGTCCACGAACATTGCAACACATAAGTGATAGTAAGTTGCTGCTTGCTAATTCTCCTTGGGACATTTTTATTTTCAGTTCCCTAAGCAAATAGAGAAATGTGGAACGAAACATAAACTAAGCCTGCAGTAAGACAACTAAAGCACTTTCCAGAACCAAGACCTAAAACTTGTCTATGTAATGAAATTTAATTGCATAATTTTCCTGCTATGATTATTTTAATACAAATTCGTAGTGAATCTTCACTCTGGGATAAAAGGAATGCTCAAATGGGAGCTTGGATGAGTAGAATTATGCCACTAAATTTCTCAACACAGGCAAGCAACCCAGAAAAAAAAAAAGTCAGGATTAAGAAAAGGCAGGTGATCAATGGTTCCACTCCAGGCATAAAACACCAGCGAGAGCGAAATGAGTGTATCTATGGTCATGGCAGACTGAATTATCCACATCGTGTATTGATAATGCAGTAAAATGCTGGCTACTTACAGGGATTGTTTCAGGACGACTTACTGTCAGAACTGCATGACTTCGACTGATGGACTGATCATCCTGAATTAATATTGCACAGTTTTTGCGTCCGACTACATATTCTGTGCCACTTAAAAGCCGATATGGTTCTCCTGAAAATAAACAAGAGACAGAAAACTCCCAATTTACAAAAAACTCCAAAACACTCAAAGCACTTAAGAAACAGTCAGAAGTTTGTAGTATATCTGAAACTCAACTTTGTCACGTATCATTTATTAGGCTGACTAGAATTATGCATTTAGTTTATAGACAAAATCTCTTTGTCCCCCTCTTCCTTGCTTTGTTCATTAGGATACATTTTATGATAAACAAAGCAGTTACAAAAGTGGCAGCACACTGTTTTCAAGGACAATACATTTTTACTAATACTTTGCTTCTTAACTTTTCTCTTGTATTGCTTCTTGAAGATTAAGTGTTACATATCTTACAAAAGATTACTATGTAAGATAGCTCTTCCAAAACACAAGTTTTAAGGGTACGTGATTTTTTGAGGGTACATAATTTATTTACATAACTTATTAAGAGGTTCAGAGGAAAGCATCCCCCTAATGAATGTGGGATGATCTGCAATGTAAATCAAACTGATACTTAGTAAGTTCAGTCTCTGATCTATGCTTTAGCTCATTCTTGGTATCTGTCATCTAGACCACATGGTGGCTTTTCAGTGAATGGCTTGACTACATCCAAAAGGTGTGTGTTACCTCCTGGACAACAAAACCAGAAATGTTTCTTGATGAAAATGAATGAATGACAACAGATTAAACTCTAGTTATCAGCAAATAACTTTCCAAATATGAACTGTGCAGAAACGATCATCCTGAATACAACGACAATACCAGTGTTTTGGCTCTTGCTCAAGAGTTTTCCAGGCAGTAAGAGATAACTCAGTTCATTTCAATAGGATTAGGTACTGTTGGCACTAGGAGATAAACATCCAAAATTCATTCCCAATGAGTTAGGAAGTAAAGAGCAGATGCAGTTGTGATAGGACTGCTTGTTATACAGAAAACATTTAAGTCAAGAAGAAATTTGTATATTATATGATACCTATTATCAAAGTTATCAATGTATCAAAGCTCCTAGGGATAAGGAAACTGATGAAGAAAGGTACAGTGGCAATTCAGTTTCAAAACTCTGCATCCAAGAAACAATGTGATGTCTTAAATTCAACACTTGGTCCTTGAAACATCAACATATTTAGCCATCTTTTCTGAAAGGAGAGACTCCTGAGGTTGACTTCTGCATCCGAGTTTAATTCTTCAGGCATTTTAAAGCAGCACTCTGCGACCTGCTTCACTGGCTGCAACAGCACCTGAAGACATCCCAGATGTATAAAACAGCAAAGCAAAAAGCCCTATTAAATTTAACAGGAGCTGTGGTCTGCAGTGCTCAGGGCTCAAGGGAAAAACGGAGGCTCAGCCGTGGACGACCGTCCAGAGCGACGAGGACTTCTGTCACCACTTGTCCACACCGGACCAACGCAGCTTTGCCCGGGGAGCACGGACAAGCAAGCCCGCCTGGAGACGCCAGGGGAAGCCGAAACGCCGGCTCCTGGCGCCGGCGCACCTCGGCACCCGAAGGTAACAGCCG